TAATTTTCTTTAATCTATTCTGATAAGAAATTTATTTCAATATTTATTCAGAAAAAAAAATTATAAAAAATTTCTGCAAAATTTTATAGTGAATTTTCTGAAAAATTTTTTGGTCGCTAGTTTTATTTTCTGCGGTTAATTATCTATTCGCTTAAATACAAGTTTTGTATTTCTAATTTCTTACAATATGGAGCAAACGTTGTTGCTTGTTGTTGCTTTCTATTAAAGGCAAGGTTTTTGCACCAAAAACAGTAGAAGAAATTTTAAGTGGTTCATAAAAGTTATTTTAGCCAATTTTAATGGCCATTTTAAATAACGGCTTAAATAATTTTAGATCAAATGAAATTACGTCTTCATTGGCTGAAAAATGCCACGGTTCCTCGGCCAAAAGGCAAACGATTAAAACTTGTAAGATAAAAAGTGATAAAACCATTTTATATATCTAAAAAAAATTTGAAAATTTAATAAATTTATTTATTTTTGTCTTTTTTACTTTCTTTTGGAAAATAAATCAATTGAAGAAATAATAAAAAATTGATATAAAAGGTGAGCACTTCTCAGGGAATTTTTAAACGAAGTTAATACAAAATATCATCAAAAAGTCATATTTATCTTCAATATTGTTTTTTGTTATTTACATTTTATAAATAAAAAAATGATTTTCTTTCTCCGCTTTAAATTTTATTTTCTCTACGATTTTATGTCACCACCGGAAATTTGGTGAGCATGGTAATGCTTATTCTGTTGTTGATGCAATGAATATGAAAGCGAAAGCGAAATTTGAAAGTAAATATATTAAGGAACCCTTACAGTTTAGAGCTTCTTAAATTTTTTTTCATAATATTATTAAATTCATAAATTTTCGGTGAATACTGATAACCTTTGCCAATGCAATCATTAGCTTTTTTTGCACTACTTAGGTTCGCTTTTACCTTCTTTTTTTAAAACAATCTTCACTATTTTTGGCTTGGCTTATTGCTATTAAGAACAGCTTTGATTTCATTTTTATTGGAAGTATGATTTCATTGAGGCATAGAAATCCATCACTACATCAAAGCAAAATGTCATTCGCCCATTTCGTTTTGCCAATTATTTTTGCTGATTTCCTTCAAAAAAGCGTGTACTATTTGTAATTTTTTTCTTCTAAAATCCATTTTCGGTTTGGCTTACTCCTCTGGCTTTTTCCGACTAGAAAAATTTTGCCAAGGGATCACCTAATGTTAGAAAATATATAGAAATATAGGTGAGCTGTCAGAATCAATCGGAAAGTCTCCTGTATCTCCTGTATATGTGTGCTGCTCCAAAATGTGAGCAACAGCATCCTGTTCAATCATTTCATGCAATATTTGACGAATTTCTTCCTTTCATTTCAATTAAGTATATAGCATAGTATCTTACCACACAATACTTTTCCTAGTTTTTATTGAATAATTTGCATAAATCTTATCTTATTTTGTGCTTTTACATGCTTATTTGTGCTATCATCTACATAAGTACAGAAATAAATTTAAAAAGCTAACGATATAATTAAGAGTAAAGGTTAACACCTTAGGAACGGTGCTAAGAATTTCTCAATATTCATCAACTGAAAAGTGGAAAGAAGAAAAATAGTATTCTAAGCAAAAAGCAAATTTATAATCGAAAAGCGATAAATAAATTCGAATTCAATTAAAAGCTAAGGAAAAATTCTTATTACTTTGGATGGAACCTGATAAGTTGGATGATCTCATTCAAATAAAATGTTAAAAATAAGGAGGGATTCTCGAATGGCGTGAAAAACGAAAATACGATATTTGAAATCGAATATTCAACAAACAAAAGCGATTTCGCTAACCCCTATCATTTCTCCTTCAAAGGTTTAAGGCTGATAAAAGATAACAATAAGCAATTCGAATTTTTTAGATAGAAAAAAAGATATTGGAAGGAAAACTTGAAATTCGAGTTCGGTTAGCAATATTTTTTTGTTTTTTAACTCAATTCTTCTATTGAGTTTTTGACTTTCTCATAAATCTTTGGTAGTATCCCATACAAATTTATTTTAAAATAATAAATTTCGCTTTTAAGGCTATAAAAAAATTAACTATTCTCCTTCACTTAGCCTCTTAATAAGCAAAGTTCTAGCTCATTAATCCTTTTTAATATTTGAATTAATCGCTCCGCCTTTTAAATATGGCAATTTATATTTCCTGCCAACTTTTTTGCAATATTCACCTATATATATATATATATATGAATAAGAGGAATAAAGATGAAAATGACGAAAAGCTTAATAAGGAAGCATTATTCGCAAATTTTTCGATTTTTCGCACTTAATTGTATTTAGACTTAAATCGCTTCAACGAATAAAAATATCCGAGAGATATCCGTGAAATTTCTTTTAACATTGCTTTTTGTGGCCATAATTTTGCGCGATAAGCGAATTCGAAAGATTTGTTATTTAATCTATTTACTAATCTATTTTTCCAGTTATTTGTTGCATATATATAGCAGAATATAAAATTTTCCTTCACTTCACGTCTTTATCATAGTTATCATCTCTCCAAATTTATATAAAAAGGAATTTAGGTCATTTTTCTTTAATTAATTAATCTTCCAGATACAAGGCGAATTTGATACTGTTAATAAGCAAACATAAATTTCAGTTAATGAACAAAATTCTGCATTAAATATTCTTATTATAGAATGAATATTAAAAAATAATTACAAAACCTATTCTTACTTATTAACCTTGAAAAAAGTTTTCTTTACTAAAGTTTACTAAACGTACGAACAGTAATTTAATTCAATTCAAAAGAACCAAAAAAATTTTCCTTCTTCAAGTCCTTTCATTTTTTCCTTTCACCCTATAAATCTTATCTTTGCATAAGATTTTTTATCGTTCACCACTATTCTAATCACTAACATTGTATAATTAATGATGAAAGATTCAAAAGACTTTGCCCGAAAATATAATTATAAAAGAGAAATGAGCAGCCAATAGAGGAAATGATTTGTGCTCGTTTATTACCAATTCTATTCTAATTGAAATTTCCTAACAAAAAGATTTTAACCGTTCATTACCCACAAAAGCTTTCTAATATTTGAATAAATTTGTTTGCATAATGCAAATATTTATCGAAATTTTGCGACTTATAAAGTTGCAAAAAAAAAATGTTAAATTATAACCCCCCAGAATTTTACTTTTAGTTGGTACTTAAAAAATGAGACACTTTTTTTTGTTTTGCGTGTTTCATTCATATTCAAATCGAATCCAATTAAAAATTTTCTTTAAAAATTGTGCAATTTTTCTCATAAATCAGGTTTTTAATCAATTTCGATTAGTTAAAAAATGAATAAATTAAGAATAAAGATATGAATTAGTAAATAATTTCCATCAATTTTTTGCTTAATATTATTTAATCATTTCAATAAATGAAAAAAAAATTTTTTTGGTAAAATTTCTTTTATTTAAGTGATAAATTTATTAGTGATCAATGATCACACAACACTATTGTTAATGTCGTTATTGCAATGTTAAAAAGAATACAATTCTTATATATCGAAAGATTCTGAAAAAAATTCGTTGGAATATGCATAAAATAAATAATATCTTTATAAATTTAAAATTTAAGTATATTTCAGTTTTTTTAGTACTGAAAATAAATAAATTTACGCTTTACTCACTAAAGCAGCCGAGTGAGCCAATGGTCAGTGATAACTCTTATATGAGGTTTTACTATTAAGATTTTTAAAAATGAAGACAAAACAAAAAAGTTTCATAGACAGTGATAGGAAGAAGCCAGCAATGTTTCGAAGTTTTTATCGTCATATAAGGCTTGCTATTTATTAATATAATAAATAGCGGTATGTTAAATTTGGCATTAAATAATCTATAAGAAAAATCATAGAGAGAATTTCATTTGTGATTGTATTATAAAATGAATTTTAAAATGAATTAAGCGATAATAAAAATATATATGGTGGAATGGTGCAAAATAATATCAACAGATGCGAAACTTTTTCATTTGGATTTAATTAGGATAATCCATTAAATGTTCTTATGAGTGATAACATAGTGATATGATATAATTTGTGACTTTCTTTCTATCTTTTCTTCATGAAGTTATTAATGACGTACATTTATAAATTCATCTTGTAGTTAGGATGAAAATATTTGAATAAGAGAATAAATATTTGACAATGAAAATGCAAAATATATATATATAGTTTTAGCAAAAAAATCTAAAAAGAATGAGAATGTAAAATGAGCAATAAGAAAAGATTATAAAATATGGAAGATTTTTTTTTCCATAATTTAAGGAAATTTTTATTTGAGGAACTGCTACCAGTATAAAATTATGATGATTTGCATAATTTACATAAAATATTCAAGCACTGAGCAATAGTTCTTCCTAATTATATTATTTTCATCCTAATTTAATATCGTTTTATGTGGTTAGCTTTTCGAAAATTGCGCGTTTCCTCTCGAATTTAAGTTAACTTTTTCTCTATTGTCTCCATTTTTCTCAAATAATTTTTTTTGACATTTTACGAAAAAGAGTGGAGAATATTCAATGAAAAAATTTTTATGAAGACAGAATAAATCACAAATTTCTATGATTTAACAGCAATTTCTATGATTTAACATCAATTTCGAAGAATTGTTCAGTAGTGCAAGTTATTTATCAAACGAACAACAACCAATGCGTCATGAACATTATAATTCTCCTCCCTCTCTTCTTCAAAATATTTCGTTGAGATGATTCGAAATCTGAATAAAAAATCTAGAAATTTGTTAGAAATTCGGAATAAATATAAATCCGAACAGATTTTAGATGAATTCTAGATTTCAAGAAGTATTATAAATAATTAAAATATTTCAAAATTTCTCATTCAGTTTCGTACTATTATTTCGTTATCTGCTTTACGCTTGGCAAAGATTTATCATAGTTTTATAGTACATTATCAATCAATGCTTCACTTCATTGTTTATGATAAACAGATTTGCTTGAATGTGGTTTATGTCGCTGACTCTTATAATTTTTTTAATTAGCCTACTTCATAGCGCTAAGTCGGAATTCTCTGATAAGCTGAAAAGCGCTAAATATGAGGTAAGAAAATTTATTTCACTATAAAACCAACTATAATATTCATTCTTTCCTTAATATTGCCTCTTAACTATCCATGAATTTCCTTTGAGGACGCAATTATATCTTCGAAAGGATATTATTTAGAATCATAGATTTATGATTTTTTAATTTAATTTCTAATTTTTTAAATTGGATTTACTGATAATTCAGCCGACTTGGGAGTCGATTGATTCGAGACCAATACCTCTATGGTACCAAAAAGCAAAATTTGGAATATTTTGCCACTGGGGTGTTTATTCTGTACCAGCATTCAAGTAATTTTACATCAAATGTTTATATAATATCTAAGGAAAATTGAGAGGCGAAGGATCCAAGGAAATAAATTTTTCTCGAGTATTCATCGAACATTTCATTAGAACATTAAATTTCGAGAAATATAAAATTCTCATAAATTTTTGAAAACTTCTTTTTAATGAATCATTAAATTGATTAAAAAAGAAAATTCAAATTTTAAAAAAAGTTTTACCAAATTTTATCTTTAACGACTTCGATATGAATTATCAGCAAATGACGATTTGAACTATTTGCTTATTTGCTTTCTAGATCCGAATGGTTTTGGTGGCAGTGGAAGACAGCAAGAAATTTGGCTGTGCTAGAATTTATGCGTAAAAATTATAGACCAGAAACGACTTACGCAGATTTTGCTCATGAGGTTGTTGAAATTTTAAAAAAAAGAAAAAAAACCACAGATTTCATTGAATTCATTTTTTTTCCATTGCATGTTTTGCGTTTTAACTCATTTATATTCCTTAAGTTGAAATATAAATTAAAATTTTCTCGAAATTATTTCATATAATGAACATTTCTAAATTTTATCTCCATAAACTAGTTAGAAATTCCATTAATTTTCAGTTCACAGCTGAATTTTTTGATGCAAATAAATTCAGAGAGATTGTCGAAGCCTCAGGCGCAAAGTAAATTGTCAGCCTTTTTTAGAGAAAAATTTACAGATGAAATTTTGTATTTGGTTTATATATCTTTCATAAAATATAGATAAATGCTACCAATCCAGTTTCAACATGTATTTCGATTTATTCTTAGATATTTTGTGTTCACGAGTAAACACCATGAAGGATATACAATGTGGCCTAGCAAGACATCTTGGAATTGGAATTCAGTGGACGTTGGTCCAAAAAAAGATATTGTCGGTGTGTTCGCAATTTTTTTTAATGAATAGAAAATATAATCAGTCAAGCTTTCTTGAAAACTAGCAGAAAAAATAACAAACAATAAAAATACGACAATAGTGTGGTTTTTCTAAGTATAGCGTTGATAAAAGAATTAATATTTTTCAAACTCCTGTAAAAGCCTAAATTGAAGAAAAAGCACTTTTTCACAATGAAAAACTTACTCTTTGGTATAATTTGACACAAAAATTTTTAAAATTTTTAAAATTTTTTTCGTATTATTCGTTAGCCAAATATCAAGATTTTAGGGGAACTTAAAACTGCGTTTTCGTCAGCTGGCATTCATTTTGGTTTATATTTCTCTCTATTTGAATTTTTCAACCCGTATTATATTCAAGATCAGCAAAAAAACACAAGCGATTATGTTGAGGTTAATTTCGTTTTTAGGAGAATTAAGAATGAGGATATTAAAAGATTTTTCGAAATTTTTAGAGGCGCTCATATCCGCAACTGTTGGAATTAGTAAACATTTATGAACCAGAATTAATATGGAGTGATGGTGACTGGGAAATGAGCGAAAATTATTGGAAATCTAAGGAATTTTTGGCTTGGTTATATAATGAAAGGTTCGCTTCAGTCTTGTCCTAAATTACCCTTTAAATAGCGGATAAGATAGCGCGATAAGTCTTTAATTAATTATTTGCAAGATAAATGATGGAAAAAACTTTATAGTAATCTCGATAACCATCTTATGGAATCATTTGTTTAGGGTCGTATTCTGCAAAAAAAAATCGAATTTCATCGCCTATTTTTTTTATTTTCCAATAGTTTCTATGTTTGCACTTTTTACGCAAAAAACACTGCCCAACTGGCTTATCGTTTAAGTGAAATGTCTCAATCGACTCAACTAGCAAAGGAAATTTTTAGCCCTATCAAGGACAACGTGGTCGTAAATGATCGTTGGGGTACTGGTGTTATGGGTAATCATGGTGGATTTTTAACTTATAGTGATAATTTCAATCCTGGTAAATTTTCTAATATAATAGCAATCATAGCCATTTGTAACTACAAAATTACATCGAATTGCCATTTTTTGAAGACATGAAATATGACATTTTTTACAAGTTTACAAATTATATTAGTTTTTTTCTTTGATTTAATAAATTTTACAAATACAGGTCACCTGTTACCTCGTAAATGGGAGAACTGTATGACATTGGACAAATATTCTTGGGGTTTTCGAAAAAATTTGGAAGTAAGAGGATCAGATTTGTTTCTAATTTGAATTGAATTAAATAGTTGAGGCGTTTTAAGCGAAATAATGAAATTTTTTTAAGTCACAAATAAAGTGGGAAATGGAACAATGATGTTTTTTTCTTTACTCTTTATTTGCGTTATTTATGGATCGAAAAAATTTTGAAACTGAATTTTCTGGAACTGAATATTTTCATAAATGAGTTGCCTATGATGCTAATGTGAAAATTATCGAATTACTTGATAATTTTGAGCAATATTCTCATCAAAGAAAGGTCCTTTAGTTTCTTAGTTTTGGAATATAAGTTATTGCAGGATTAATAATTTATTCCTTTTCCTCTCCTGCTTCATTATCATAAATTATTTTGGGGCCATAATCTTAATGATTTTAAATGACAATTAATCATTTTATGTTTCTTGAAAATTATATTCATTTTAAGCGTTTATCGCGAATTTAATTTATTTAATTCATCAAATAAGCTTTAATTTATATAAAATAATGATTATTTCAGAGTTCAGATGTAAGAAATGTTAGCCAATTGATTAGAGAGCTCGTAACAACTATCGCATGTAATGGGAATTTTTTATTAAATGTTGGTCCAAATAAATATGGAATTATACCTGCAATATTCGAAGATCGTTTACGTGAACTCGGCAAATGGGTTAACCGCAATAAGGATGCGATTTTTGATACATATCCATGGATGTATCAAAATGATTCAGTGGATATATGGTATTCTAACAAATAAATTCCTATTTGGCTATCCATTAGTTGTTTTTAAGACCAAATAATTTATTAATTGAAATTATCGTAAATTTTATGCAGTTAAATTAAATTTCACTTTCACTCAATTAAGAAAACAAATCAACTCATATAGAAAATTTAATTTCGCTATTTTTAAAATGTTGGTTATTCGACGATTCGTAATCAAATAATAATTATTCAAATAATTTTTAAAAGGAGCTTTATACTGGTATATACCAATTCATCAGGTACACCGTTAGTTTACCGAACTCAAATGTGATTAGAAGTAGTTTGGCTTGGACAAAACATACGAAAGGCTCAAAACTATATGTATTTTTTTTGGAGTTTCCTGCAAAGAATAAAGTAGAACTTCCATCAGTGCTTTTCACAGAACAGGTGTGGCTTATATTCAGAACACTAATATTCATTTTTATGGTTTAAAAAATCCATTCATGAAATTATTTAAAGTATTCAATCATTCAAAAATGTATTCAATCATGGAAAAATACCTGAAATAGATTAAACTTCTAAGGGACGAATTTAAATGAACTGATTTATCGGTAGGATTCTCTACTTTGTTTTGTTCCTATATTCAAAAATTTGCTATTTTCACTTTCCATGCATAAAAAACAATTTGGAAGGCTATAATATTTCGGATGAAATACTTTTTCTCGGTGGTAGAATATTAAAAAAAACGCTAAAATTGTTATTTTTTCTTTGATAATTTTTTCTGTAAATGATTAGTTGTATGTGATTATATATAAATGCGAACATTTGAAGTGGAAAGATGGTAGTGGCATCTTTAAATGTGCTTCAGCAAGCAAAAAAGAAAAATGTGGAAAAAGATTATATGAGCTTCCAAAAGCTTCCACAAAGAAATATACTATAAAAACTCAGAAATTCATTGCTAGAATGTAAAATATGATTTGTTCAGATAAAAGCAGCGGTTTTATTGGATAATGATTTAAGTGAGGAAATTCCGATTATTGGATCGAAGGGCAAACCGATTATTCTGAATTTTTCATCTCATCAACGTCTAATTCGTTATAATCAGATCGTAGTGCGAATCGAGAACTTTGACGCGATTTATGTAAGTAATAATAATAATAATTTCATCTTACTAAGCCTTCTTGTTTGCTTGAACGGTTTCAGTTTCTCATTAATAAAAGTTGTTTCTTATGAGAATAATGAAATTATTATTAAAAATTATTTAAATTTAGCATGACCCGATTAAATATCTGACGAAACATAGAATTATCGATGCAAATAAAAAGTTTCAAACTATAAATATCCACAATGTACGAAGAAAATAATAATCTTTTTTTGGACTTATGAAATTTACTATTTTTAATGGTTTTACTAATGCCAATAATTTTTTTTTCAATTTTAAAAATTTCCATGCCTTAAAGAATTTGTTCTAATTATTGCTATTATTTGATTAATTACTCAATCAATAAATTAATTGAATTACTGACAATAAATGATATTTTTTGATAATACATAATAAAAGTTTAGCATTTTTTTAGCTGAAATTTATAAAGAAAAAAATTTATAAAACCAAAAACCAGCACGTTCATTAGTATTTTAATCGTTTTTTACAAAATGAAAACCAATTATTTTCAAAAATCTTTGTCTATAAACGACTCAATAAATAGGAAAAATCGAATTTTTAGTTTAATTAATTTTAATTTAATTAATAAGATTCAGAAAGATATTTATTACAATATTTATGATATAATTTTTTCACTGTAATCATTAATGATGCATTTATAATTATAATTATATACTTATTATTACAATTATTAAAATAACTGACAAATTTTCCTTCATTTTTGCCTCAAATGAAAAAAAATATGAAACATCATTAGAGACCACGTATAAACCTTATTATGAAGTACCTTTAACTTCCATAACCCATTTTGAGCGAATTCGCTTTCCATACTGCAAATAAATTTTCTACATTAATAAGAAAATCCTAAACAATATATTAAAAAAGAATTAAAGACAAGAAACTTGCTTACTTGAATATCGCTGATAGCATCACGACATCTTTGCATGACATTTGCTTTACATTGCAATGTCGGTATTAAAAGTTCTTCATAAGTATCGGTCGAATTATTCTTGTAAAGAATTCGTCCGACTGGTGTCACAACACATGCCGTTCCTGATCCAAATATTTGAAGAATCTTCAAAATTTTTCGATAATTGATCTATATAAACGCGAAATTTTTCTTATCATATCATATTTCATTGCTCTATAAAAAGAAAGTTAAATTTAAGTTAAGTTTAGTTTTTAATCTCTTACCCTCTTCTCCTTGGTTGCCTTTCGAATTTCAGCCATGCTTATATTTCTTTCAATAACCTTGAACTCATTCCATTCTCGGGTAAGCGTTATTATGCTATCACGTGTAATCCCAGGAAGAATTATCTCACCGGACAATGTAGGAGTAATTAATTCTTCTTCTGCAAGCAATATTTAACATTTCTGAATTTAAAAAATGAAATTAAAAGCAAATAATCCGATATTAAACGACGATGAACGCTTTCATCTAAGCAAACAATCGTATTATTTAGAAAATTAATTAATTAATCGTAGAGACACTATTTTTCAGATCTAAAAAAGATTTTAAACCTGCAAGCAAATAAGTCTGAATATATATCAATTAAGTGAATTGAATACAATTTTCCAACCTCCTTGTTCATTTTTCCAAAACACAAAAATATTCATTGTACCAACTTCAGCGATATTTTCATTGGGTCCATGTAACCAAAGAACTTGTTGGCATTGTTTTTGGTGCGCGATTTGTGCAACAAAAATCGTTGGCGCATAATTACTGACAAAAAATTTTTAATTAAATGGCATTTGAATATTCTGATTTAGTTTTTATAGTTTTTTTACAATAAATATTATGTAATTTGAATTACTTAAAAGTACAATAAAATCCCTCATTAAAAAGAAATTGAATTAAAATTATTCTACTAACCATCCCATTTTATAAGCGCCAACACCACCATAAAACGAGCGCACATAAGCTGGGTCGGCTAGCAACGAAACAGCTTTTTCACCTTCCACTGATTCGTCCCAATACTGTCCGATAGGACTTGTTAGAACGAATAATTTAGCTGATGAGGATTTGCCTACACCAAGTGTTGGCTATAATAACAAACTATGGAACAATGGAACTTGAATCTTTTTAAAATTTTTTGGCAGTTTTATTTTCAATAGATTTGAATCGAAGAATTAAAGAACTACAAACATCTTTCAGATTTGTTTTTTCAACATTTCCTTCTCCTAAGTTTCCAGCGAAAAGGCCTAATTTAAAGCCATCTAAAGCGGAAATGATGAATGCAGATGGAGCAAAAGAAGGAATACAAGAATATTACAAGAATATCACATAGAATCTTGCTTTTATTCGTTTAATTTTCTCTTTTATAAAAATCGACAAACATGGGCTCACATCAGTTCCTATAAATGCTGGTCGAATGTATAAAGAAGTCATAGGTGAATTTGGTATCCATTCACGCTCGATTTGCACCAAATCATTGATAATTTTCAACAACTCGTCTCCAGAAAAATCCTAAGGTGGAAATAATATTTAAACTACTAAACTAAACTACTTGCAAATAGTAAGAAAAGAAGAAAAACTATGCAAATATCCTTAAAAAAGCTGAAAAATATAATATAATATATAAAAATATAATATATCTAAAAAATTTTAAAAAATTTTTCGAAAAATAATCGAACCTTCAAAAATGACTTGAAATATTGCACTGCAAAAAATTCGCTAGAAAATTAACAGAATTTTTTCAAAAAAATTCTCAAAATTTTGTTGGAATTACTTATAAATTACTTAAAACTTCTTCAATCATTCCTAATTAGCAATGAAAATAATTTCAATTCACAGCTGCACTCTATTAAATTACCCTTGGGAAGCGAAAATTTTTTTTCATTTTCCGAGAAACAATCTAATTAAAATTTTTAATCATTTTTCAAATTAGATTCCTCGAGTAATTCTTTCAGAATTATCTAATCTTTCTATAAAGAATCTGCTAAAAAAAATAGTCTTTCTCAGTCTCTCAGTCTTTTTTTGTTAAATTTGATCACATCGAAGATACTTAGCTAAGTGGGTTGGTGGAGAAATCCTTATTTGCAATTTCGATTACAAACTTACGCCACTTTCCATAAGAAATAAAAATAGTTAGTGTAATAAAAATCAAGTAAAAAAATAAAACGTAAGGTGCATAGAAAAAAATTTAAGACAAACTGGTAAGGATGCTCTTTCAGCTGTTCGTCGCATGCGCTGCATGTTCATATCTGGTCTAAATAACCGAATTTTTCCATCAATACCCTTATATGCCTTCAATCCTTCAAATAATTCAATTGCATAATGGAACACCTGAAAGAAAAGAATTTTGTGCAAATGCATGCAAAATTCGAAAGCAATAGAAATATTATTCGTAAAATATTGCATTCAACCTTCGAACCAGGATGCAGTGACAGATTGTGAAGGGGCGATATTGTCGGAGCGTCCCAACCCTTTCCTGATTGCCAATTTACCTGAGCATTTATAAAAATAACAAATTTTCATCGACTTAAACAAGCAAAAACCGAAAAAATTGCATATACAAAGTATTTGTCTGAAATATTTAGCATTTCCAAAAAAACACCTCAAACATATGATCGGTGTAATGATGTCCGAATTTAAGTGGATCTGTTGATTTTGGTTTTGCACGAAGTTCTGTTGCAAGAATTGTGATTAAATCATGATGCTGGAAATTTTGAAATAAATTCTCAAAAAAGGAACAGAATTTTATTATCTAAGTGGATTCAAGAAAAAAAAGCGATAAAAAAGAAAAGATGAAATTTTTTGGTTTTTTTCCAATTTCAAAAATTTCAGAAATTCTTATTTGTACTATAATATAAGCCGACATAATTATAATTCCTATTCAAACCGAAGAGTGAATTGGTTCATTGGAAGTTCTCATTTGATCTCATTTCAGAGCTTCGAAGCTATAAGGTTCATTGCTGCTAGAAAGTAAACTTGTCTTTAAAAAATCTGAAGATGCTGGTGAATTATTTATATTTATGCCGCCTTAAAAATTGGCAAAATTTATTTGGCTCGACAAAATAGCGCAGTGAATGAAAAATAATAAGGCGCTCTCAGAAAGGAAGAATTCATACCTAGGAAAATATTCACTTTTAATACAAAACTAGGTAAGCATTCGCAAAAATATATATATATATATATATATGCATATCAAAAATATACTTAAAGCCACTCAAACCCAATATTGTTATTTTATCGAGAAAGAAATGAATTGCAAAAATTGCAAACTCACGTAAAATATTTCTGTTCGATAATCGCCTTTTTGATGATTTTTTTTGATTCCTGTAGTGCAAAAAAATCTTATAATACTAACACCGAATTGCTGATTAATTTTTCTTGAAAAACTTTGCATGCTTATTTTTTTTTAATGTTTAGATCTGAAAACATTGATAAATTAGTTTTTCAAATAACCAAAAATAGCGTAACAAACAAAATTTTTTAGAAATTTCGCGAGTACAGAAACGTAAGTTTCAAGGTCGATAATGATTTTCGCAATTTATTAATCCTTAACGCACTTAATGAATATAATATATGAATATAAGTTTGATTACATATTTTATCAAAACTGGACCCATTGAATAATATCGCCTTGGTGCTAATATCACCGCAGAAAAAAAGAAATCAGCATTAATCTCTTAAAATAAACGGCTGAAAATGCTAAGTATATCTAGTGACATTATAACAATGAATTTATGATCTTAATGCCCTTCATTTGTTAGGCCAATACAAACTAAAAGCTTTTTGCGCCGCTAATTTATACTTTTCCATTTTCATCAGCTAAAAATGCTCTTAAAATGAATAGGAAGATAAGTTCGACCGAACCAATTTCTATTTATTTCCATTGATAATCGAACAAAAAATTTCACGAGAAATTTAACAGATCATAGGTTAATTTACGCAAGAAATGTAATTTTATCAGAAATTCATGAATTCTCACAAATTTAACACTTAGTGGATAGTACTAAATCAATCAATTCATGATAATCTTTATTAGTCAAATAAAGAAACGATTTAAAATTATATTTTAAATTTTAAATAAAATTTGTGAAGTAGAAAATGGGAAAAAAATTCAATTTTTAAGCATTAAATTTGAAAAAAACATTAAACTTTAAGCATTAAACATTAAGCATCCAACTTTTTTAGCTTAAACCTTGGAAATTCGAAGGGAAAAATTCAATATATTTGAATTTTTTCCATTTTATTCACAAAATACTATATTGCAAAAAAATAAGTAAATATTAACAAATATCAATGACCACTTTAACAAGAATTTTTGTAGAAAGTTAGGAGAAAAGAAAATTTCTTTTTCTTTTTGCATTTCTTTTATTTTATCCAATGTTAGTACGAACGAACATCTATAAATCGTTGATGACTGATAAAAACTTTTTTTTTATCAGTCATCAACGAAATTTAGGATGATCATTAAATTTAATTCAATAAGCGCTGATTGATGTTTGTCGAAATATTTTTTATATGGGTGATTTATTGATAAATTTAGTTCGCAATCAAATTCATTTGTACAAATTCTACGTTTATGTTTATGTTTGTTCTACGTTTGCATATTAGAAAAAAAAAATTATATTGAAAAAAAAATAGTTAGAAATAGTTTTAATGCTTTAATGCTAAAATCCTTTCACCAGCTATTAGTTTAGAAATATTTTCGTAGGTTATTTTCTGGTTCATTACAAGTTTGTAGTATCTAATAATCTTTTTATATTCATTACTATACCATGGTGTAAAAAGATCCGAGTGATGCAATGAATGCACCTGTATTCCTAATTGATTCTCTGAGAAAATCACCCATCCTACCAATAGAACACATGGAACACCAGTTCAACGAGAAGTTTTTCTGTATTTGCTAGTTACTTAGAAATTCCTCACTAAAATAATATATTACTTTGCATATACAACTTCGCTGGTGTTCTTTATCAGCAAAATCTATCAATAAAATTTTTTTTGCAAACTAATTTTTTTTTTCAAACGATTCACCCGTAACAATTTTTTTAAAAAAAAGAAGCGAAAATTTTTCACCATATTTATTATCAATTTTGGCATCATTCCAGTTATAAATAAAAACTTTTTGCTGATTTTCCACTGGTTTTCATGAATTTCAAATAATTCCTTAAATCATTTGAACTAATAATGAATAAATAATAAATATTTCATTTGAATCAGATGTTCATTGAACTAATTGAGATTAATCCTGTAATTCGTATGAATCTTAGGCCAAAATCAAATCGCTTATCATAAAAATCGATTGCATCTCATTATTTGCTCAAACATTTAATCGCCTAAGTGATCTAATATATGAGAATATATGGAAAGTGAGAAAAAGAATGGCTTCAGTCAATTTTGAATATTGCTCCGAGGAACACTATTGGCCAGTATTGAAAATCTTGCTAGTCCAGGAAGCTACCGTACAGATCAAAGCTAGTGTTGCAAGTTGTTGGGAAAATCACGACTGATGCTTATATTTATGCTATAAATGTATTTCCTAAAATCGTTTGAAATATTAGAATTACCACCATTTATCAATGTTTATCAAGTCGTTTATTATTAAATTTCTTGATTTCATTCTTCGTCACTTTAATTCATTTTTGAACTTTACAGTTCTTCTTGTTTATGATTTTCAGTCTATGAATTGAAATTATAAATTATAAATAAATTTAAAGTTTTAATTAAGTCAATTGATTGCAAGAATATTTAAAAATAACAAACATTTTAAAAAACATTTGATAACAAATCTAAACCATAAACAAAATTTTGCTAATTAAAGGAACAAATTTAAAAAAACAGACACAAATACAGATATAAAGTATTAATCAAATAACTGAATAATTAGATTATGGCGGCAATAAAAAGCCAAAAAGAATTAAGGGATTATAATTTTTTCAGTAAAAATATTATATTCATTCTGTTTGTTCAACAATTTAGTAAAAATTTAATTAAAAATTAAAACCATATTTAGCCTATGGAAGTAAATCGGTTAATAAAAGTTAAATTCAAGTCCTGGACCAATTAGTTTTCTAGCGAAAGGACCAGTCCAGAACAGCATCACAGACCTTTAATACTAATCCTTTTTGTTGATAGTTATGATGGAATAAAGTTAAATAATATGTCGACAAAGTCAGCGAAAGTCAGGCTCATCATGATGGAAATCTTTTCGCCAAGAGCTGCTAAAATACTTATTTTCATTAATCCCTCTACTGAAGAAGTGCCAGACTTTAAGTACCTTGGATACATATTAATCCTAAATGGGCAAGCGAAAGGTGAAATTACAACCTGGACAAGAGTAGCTAAAAATTCATTCCGGCTAGCAAAATCATCCTAAAAACAAAAATCTTCGTCTATATAGCTGAAATTCGTTCGATCTTGCTATATGGCTGCAAGGCGAGACATGGCTGATAAGAGTGGAGGATATTAAGAGGTTATTTAACCTTGACCACTCATGTCTAAGATAAATTTTACGCGTTCGTTGAGTGGAATCTCACATAGCATCACATCACCTTCGCTGATTCAACGCCGTCTACCGTAGGAATTTACATATATTTCGTTACTTGCTAAACCATGTGATAATTAACATCGAAAGCGAGGAGTGCCAATCAAGCCTTGGACTGATGGAACAGTCAGAGCAAAATTTTGAACGTATAAGCGCAACAGTGATATAAGGAATTAGACGGTGGAAAAAGAAAAGAAAAAAAATGAAATGATTGTTTTTAGCGATCAAATGAGTCGGATTGAATAGCTTGGAAAGCTTTGAAAATGGGATCTTACGTTGTAAGCAGTGGAGCTCGTCGAACCAGTAATGGTGAGACCTATAAGAAGAAAGCGAAAAATGAAAAGAATCTAATTAATGAAGCCAACCAAATTAGAAACATTTGATACCGTTAGAAAAAGAAGAAAAATACTACTATGATACATTATTTTCGCAAAAATCAGCAAAAAAGAAATTAATAAAAATTTTAATATCTTTTCTTTAACAACTTTTTATAACTTTACACATTTTTTTTCTATTTTTTAAATTAACTAAAAAGCGAAAAGAAAAGGGTGAAAAACCAGAAATGAGAGAAAGAAGATTTATTGACAACACGAGTTAGTGAGGAATGCAGTAGTACTGATTAAATAAGTTTAAATAAGTTGATAAGTTATATAAGATCAAAAAGCAGGAGCAGTTTTTGCAATACAACATTAAACTTTATATAAAGAATCACGTTTTTTTATCTACTATTGTAAGCCAGTATTATGGAATAGCGTAAGCAGATCGCTATCACCAGATCTTTATTCGGTTTACCGAAGTCGAGCCCCTGAATCTCAACAGCCAGCTGTTAAACCACTCATTAATATTACTGAAAATAAATTATAAATTATATTATCAAACTGGTTTCCCATAATCGCCTTCCTCTTTTCCAGTCCAACAGTAATCCTTCATTTTAAGCAAATATTAAGCCGTAATAGTTAAATTAAGTTTTCAGTGAGTAGCAATCTAAAACTTTTTTCATTCTGTTGGATGGACAATTTTAATCAATTAAAAATTACACTAGAAATAAAAAAATCGACTCGTTTAATAATAGTGTAATTAATTTTTTCCATAAAAATAATAAGTTGCTTTTTAAATTATATAAAAAATCGAAAAGAAATGACAAAAATGCTACTATATTTCCGATTATTCTTTATAATAATTCTACAAATTCGAGAAAAAAGTTGCTAAAATTTAATGAATAACCTAAAACTGCTTAATCTCATTAAAGTTGAGAAGAATTAAGATTTGGGTATCAAAATATATTTAAAAAATTAAATTGCATGGGAGTAAATTTAAAGAATTTTTAAGAAATGTTTCATTAACTCATTTGAATTTCGACTCAACTTGGACGAATGAACATTAAAATTAAAGAAAATCCTGGCATCAGGTCGAGTGATTTGAAAATGCCTTATGCTTCTGGCTAACGAAACTTGAAGCTGCCCAACAAGTAATGAAGCAAGCAATTGAGTAATAAAGTACAGAGTATATTTATATATTAAAGGAAGAAAGAAAAATTTTTACCCCAAAAGAATTTATTGAGGAACTAGAAAAAATTCGACTTAATTGGCATATGAATCAACAAATGCGAAAATTTTTAAGTGTTCGAGAAAAAATTTCGAAAAAACAACGCTAAAAAATTACTCATTGGCTTTAAATGCTACAATAAATTGAAAAGAGAGACCCCAACTTATTGTTGAAAAGAGAAAAATTAGGAAAAATTTATAATATGAATGAAATAGTAAATAATTTGAAAATATTTGGAGAAAAATTTTGTTTGATAATTTGACTTTGACGTTAAATTAATATATATATATATATATATATTTTTCTAA